AGAAGAGTAGAGACTGAAATCCTGGTTCTCAGTGACTGCAGGGCCTATAAGGTACCCACAAGTAGCTAGTGGGCCCACAACTCTTGACATCTATACCTTGTCCCTCTAGAACCACAACAGTTTAAGAGTACTGCTGTGTAATTCACTAGTCTGGAACTGTATTCATTTCAACTGAATATCATTTCAAGTTTGCCTCTGTTGAACTTTTGAGACACATATAATGAATGAAGGGAAAAGGAAAATTTCTAGATGGCATCTAATTTATTTTAGTGAAAAAAAAATATTTAAACCCTTCTGAAAAATACCTTTGGCAAAGTAATTTAGAAATAAAAGGTTCATGAGACTCACCTACTTGTAAGTCCTCTGCTTCCCAAGACACACACAATAAAAATTAGGCATAAACCCAGGTGTCAGCACAACCCATATGGCTGTATGTGGTGGCCCTACCCAGACTCCCATAGGCTAATACAGAGTGAGTGAGGCCTGGGAGGAATCCAGACTCAGAACTACTGTTACCTGCCCAAGGTAACTCGACTTACAGCAAAACTAAGGCCCGAGTGTTTATATTTTGTAACTAGTAACAACATGCAAAAAGTATTTCTGGATAGTCAGTGTGATAGACGTTCCTCTAGAGAATGCAAAAAACAAACAAGATAGCTTTGTCCTTAAGAAACAAAAAGGTTATGGATATGAAATTGATTTTAGCTCTCTTTTTCCCATACAAACTCACTTATTAATAATTAACATGTTAATTACATAATCCTTTCTATTTATTAAAGCAAGTCCCCACAGCCCTTTTCCTTGTAAACACTTTGCAAGGGTAGTTATTATTACATGTGCTTGCTTGAAGGTGGCAAAATATACTGTAATTACATATTTTTACACATTTAGATTGACTTCATTTGTTTATTTAACAATTCAGATTTTATAGTATTAATGTACATTTCTAACATTCCCCTTTCTTCACACCACAGAAATTTTATTTTATTTTTTGAGATGGTCTCACTTTGTCACCCAGGCTGTAGAGCAGTGGCGTGATCAGAGTTCACTGCAGCCTCAACCTCCTGGGCTCAAGTGATCCTCCGATGCCAGCCTCCCGAGTAGCTGGGATTACATATGTGTGCCATCACAACTGGCTAATTTTTTAATGTCTTTTTGTAGAGACGGGGTTTTACCATGTTGCCCAGGCTGGTCTCTAACTCCTGGGCTCAAGCGATCAGCCCACCTCAGCCTCTCAAAGTGCTGAGATTATGGACATGAGCAACATTCTTAATCTCTTCAGTATTTTTTTTTTTTTTTTTTTTTTAAAAAAAAAGACAGGGTCTTGCTCTGTCACCCAGGCTGGAGTGCAGTGGCACAATCTTGGCTCACTGCAGCTTCCACGTCCTGGGTTCAAGCGATTCTTGTGCCTCAGCCTCCTGAGTAGCTGGGACCACACCGGCTAAGTTTTGTAGTTTTAGTTGAGGCGGTGTTTCACCATGTTGCCCAGGCTGGTCTCGAACTCCTGACCTCAAGTGATCCACCTGCCTCAGACTCCCAAAGTGCTGGGATTACAGGCGTGAGCCACCACGCTCGGTCAGATTTTTAATATATATTTCCATGCCTGTATTCTTAAGACGTTTCTTGCTCCATAAAGGCGAGTTGTTTGTCATTTTGGTTTTATATCCCTAGCGGCTCACTGAATGAATGAACTGGCGAGAGGGCAGTGCAGTTAAGGTGTGGGAGGCAACACCACCAGTGACTACGGGAGAGGCCCCTCGTCAGTTAGTTTCCATTGGTGGGAACCCTGGGCTAGCCACTTACTGTAACAGCTGTGGGATCATGGCCAAATCATTACATTTCTCAAGGCTTTGGTGTTCTCACTTATGAAATAGAGACAGCCTCAGAGGGCTTCCCGTTAATTAAGAGACTGGGTGAATCAGCCTGGGTTTGGATCCTGGTTTGACCATTGTAGTCACTGTGCATCCTGGCAAAACTGTTCACCTGTTCTGTGCCTCAGTTTCTTCCTCTGTAAAGTGGAGTAATAACAGCAACTTCTGTGAGGATTAAATGAGTTAATATAAAAAACATTTAGAAAACAGGACCCAGGACATAGTAGCATGTTCGATAAATGCTGGTTGTTATTACTAATAATTTTGGAAAAGCTGCTCATATAAAATGTGAGTAAAATGGTTGCGAAGTATTTGAAACTTCTTTAAAAAAGCAAAACCAGAAGCAAGCCATGAAGTGAAGAACAAAAACAGAAAAAGGAGACTGATGACATCTTGGGTGGCGGCATGAGTGAATCATTCCAGAGACATGAACACGTCTCATGTGAAGAAGGAAGCTGAATATGTCACTATTCATCTGAGTAGTTAATCAAGAGGAGAAAGAAAGAACCCTTTACTTGGATCCCTTTCTAAAAGGATAACAAAGACGGAAAAAGCGAAGAGCATTTATTGAATTCAACAATACATGTTGCAAATCTGATCTCCTGTTGCTGAGTGTTTGCTGAGGACAGGAGGCTCCAAGGGGGAAAAGGTGATGATTTTGAATTGGACATTGAGAGTACCAGGACCCTCACAGCACACAGCACTCAGAGCAGGAACCCAGCGGCACACATGCCTTGGAGGGGAACAAGGTGGCAGTGTCACTCGGGAGAGGAGAAAAGGGTGCATGGTGCTGGGAGGGGTGCCCAACTTTCAGGCACCAGAGAGTGCCGAGTGTGGGAATATCCTTCTCATTTCAGATCGTTTCTACTATCAACCTACACTCCAGGTTCATGCCGTAAAACACTCCAACAAAAAGCTGAACTGTGACGCAGGAGCCCAGTGGGCTACCGTAACAGTAAAGGTCCTGGAACTGAAGCAAGGCTTTACTCACAGAACATTAGAAGTGGAAGCAACTTCCAATGCAATATAATCTCATTTTCTCGTTTTCTAGACAAAAAGCAATTCAGAAAGAGTAAGCAATTTTCCAAGGAGACACAGCAGTTTGGATAAGAACTCTCCTGGGCTCAGTGCTCTTAAATTAAGAGTCTTCACGTTCAGTGATAGCAAAAAACAGGGATTTAGTCAAAAAATAAATCCACTCTATAGTAATTTCCTTCCCTGCTATTAGTTCCTATAGCAAAAGTTCTTCCTTAGTTGTTCACAAAAGATTTACTAGATAGCCCAAGGCTCAGTCTTCACGTATGATGAGTAGAAAAAGAGGCTACAAGATTGAATTACTAAAGAGTATGGAGACAAATTTCAAAAAGCCCAGGAAGGGCTTATGGTCTTAAGAGTTAACTAGACCACCTTCACCCACACCCAGTTCTGAGAACAAGGTCTGGACCTTGCTTCCAATTACATTAGGAGCAAAAGCTCACATTTTCTGTGCCTACCACGACTTACAAACCGCTTTTCCAACTGCTGCTAAGTTCTCTTCTTTCCATGACAGCTAAAGAAACCTGGCTTTGACAACACCCACCACGTTCAGTAAGGGTGGTGGGTAACCCACAGTCCTGCCTCTGCCCAGCAACAAACAGCTACATGTTACAGTTACTGGCGCTGACAGGGAACCAACAGATCATTACTGCCGACTGGGACTGAAATTCCTAATGCTTACTGGAATTGCTAACATGGAAAACTCTTGATGATGTGATATAAAGAGAATTGGGCAAAACCCAAGTCTCACTCTCAGGACAAGCCTGAACAAAGACAGGAGAGGCTCTCTATAGATGTTTGCTTTCTTGGGTATCCCCATAGTCTTCCTACCAACAGAAATATTTGGAAAGTAAATATAACAAAGCCCTCTAAGGCCAAGAAACAATGCTCCATTGGTAGCACTGAAACTGTTTAAGATCTTTTGGAAAAAGATCTTCAGCACACAAGAAAAGAACTCGCTTTTCAAGCTGTAAAGTACTTTTCATCAGAAAGATGCGATTTTCTGAGAAACGGCAGGTAAAAAGGGAGGTGACTGGGCCTCACCTTATATTTGCCTGGCCTCATAGATGGGTTTGCTAAACAGCTGCAAACGCCTCTAGGAAATACCAAGGGTCTCCCCCAGGCAAACCTGGTCTTGTTGTAGAAGTGGTAAACATTTTACTATGGTTTCGCAGTGGCACTCATCATCTTCACCCGGAATGTTCCTGGTATTTTCAGAAGTGAGGGAACTCTGGGAATTGTGCCAGATTATCTCATTCTCTCTAAATTATCCATTAAAGTCTAATTTAAATAAACAAAATATAAGGAAGGTGGTAAATTCAAATGTCTTATTGCTAGAAGTGACTTAGAAAAAAATATACATGTATGTTATATATATGTATACCTATACACATCAGGTTAAAAACCTTGATAAAAGGACTGTATGTGTATGTAACAGAACCTACATCCACTTTCAGGAAGAAGGAAGGCCAGTGGTGCGTGCTGGACATGATTCCACTTAGTTCTCCGCTCCTCCCTTACCTTCCCTTATGAAAGACACGTAACCATTTCAGGCTTTGTCCTGTCTCCGAAGAGTCAGACTGGGGATGACTGGGAAAGTGAGAGCTACTGCTGACCTGATGCGGCACCTCGGAGAGAAACTGGGAGGGAAGTGTGGGGCAATGCCGTCCTGAGCTGTCAGCTCAGGGTTTTGACAGAGATCACTAAGAGGGAGGGGCCAAACCAGAATCCAACCCAACAAAGCCCAAGTTTTACATCAGAAACCTTCTGAGAATGTGGCTTGTGTTTTTTTTCTCTACGTTTAGAACCACGTCACAGAAGGTAGGGGTCCCCTACTTCATTAGCAACACAAGGATGATGAGCACTTACCCTAGTGTCTGATACATAAATGCTTAACCAATAGTGACTGTAATTATTGCTCCCATCATTAGGGGCAACTAAAGTACTGTGGGCTTGTATGAACGTCACAAACCTGTCAGGTAACAGATAATGGATCTTACGATATGTTCACAATATTAAAATCCTGAAGGACTAACACATTAAGAAAACTTCTACAACTTGCTGCCATGCATTTAGGAGAAGCTTTGGTTTTACCTTGTGGTCCATACTGGCTCATCTGTGGACCGTAAGTCCCACTTGAGTTACTCTGCTGAAAGCTACTGATTCCAGCATGCATCTGGCCCCCAGGAGAAGGATGAGGCGACATGGATGGTCCTGTCTGTTGAGGTCCATACTGAGCCATCTGAGGGTTTCTTTGTGTGCCTGCCATAAAACCTAAGTGGGAAATAAATGGAAACATATAAATGCAGGTGTTTCATAATCTCTGCATACATAAAAATGGACATGGACTTATCTGGCAGGTGGCAGGGGATAAGGCTGGTACCATGAGATTTTCCTAAAAAAACAGCTAAAGACATCTCAATTCGGCGTGGACAGTCTGGAGGGTGCCCTGGTGAAACCCTGGTCCTAACCCTGAATTCCCAAGACGACTCCCAGGAAGCCAATGGCTTGTGGACTTAAAGTAGGGAGGGGAGGAGGGGGAGCAAAGGCAGATGACCTCCCCCTCTTTTGCAGATAAAGTTCCTACAAAAAGTAACAGTGACCGACTGCTGTACTGCAAACTTCTGCCCCTGCCAGGCTGGCCACGCCGTGCGTGCCCCCTCCAAGCCTTTGCTCACTGCCCAATCCCTGGGACGCAGCTCTCTGGTTACTCAAAAATCCTACCCTTTAGACCCAAGGTACCAGCTCTTCCCTGCACAGAGCTGTTTTTCTCCCCTCTGGTGTCCTCAAGCAGTAACCGTTAAACTTGGTTCCTAAAGGGCCTGCAGACTTCTAATACCTGACTCGCACCACCCCCACAGGCCAACTGCAAACAGCTGCAGGCTTGCACTGTATTCTGCTGCGCCCCAGCAGAACCTTTGACTTTCTCCTTCAAATCTGTTGGGTCTTGGGACTTATCTACCTCTGTAACTGGTATGGCCACTCCTCCAAATGCTCCCTCAGACACATGGGACACCCACAAGGTCAGCCTTTCCTTCTTTCCTCTAAGTGTGATCCATCCATCAGCATGTCCTGGTGACTCCGCTCTGACACAGATGGTGCGAGGTACTTCTTCCTTATTTCTACTCCTACCAAAGCCAGCCCCAGTCGTGTCTTCTGCCCACACCACAGCTGTACGACCGACCACTCAGCCTTGCTAACCCCAGTCTTGCTCCTTTTGGTTTATTTTCCTCAAAGGTGGCAGAATAACTTTCAGGAATACAAAAGGAAATGAGAGCATATCTCTCCCCTGCATAAAACTCATCAAAACTGGCGGGCATGGTGGCTCATGGCTGTAATCCCAGCTCTTTGGGAGGCTGAGGTGGGTGGATCATGAGGTGAGGAGTTCAAGACCAGCCTGACGAAGATGGTGAAACCCTGTCTCTACTAAAAATACAAAACTTAGCCGGGCATGGTGGCAGGTGCCTGTAATCCCAGCTACTCGGGAGGCTGAGGCAGGAGAATCCTTTGAACCCAGAAGGCGGAGGTTGTAGTGAGCCAAGATCGCGCCCCTGCACTCCAGCCTGGGCCACACAGTGAGACTCCATCTCAAACATAACAAAACAAAACAAAACATCATGAAGACTTCCCACTGGCGCTAGAATAAAATGCACACATGTGACCTTGTCTGTGAGACCTTGTGAGCTCTGGCCGCTGCCTTTCTCCCTTTAGCCCCATTTCCTAGAGCTTTCTCCCGCTCCGCTGCCCTGCAGGTTCCAGAGTTCCTAGAAGACAACATCATGCTTCTTCCCTCGGCAAAGCCTCTCTCCCCGATTCCCTCCTCCCAGCTGGCCCACGATCTGCTCTCCACGCCGCTAGGTCATTCTCATCCTTCAGCCCTCCCTCCACACCCGGTCAGAGGCCACACCAACCCTTGCCCTTTCCCACTCACCTTCCTTCGGAGCACTTTTCATAATCACTGGTAATCACTTTATTTTATTTGGACTCACTTATCATCTCTCTTCCCCACTAAAACATTAGCTCCATGAGGGCAAGGATCACACCTGCGTTCACTATCGTATCCTCGGTGCCTAGCAGAGCACTGTGGGACGTGGTGGCTAACAAAAACTATTGTTTTTTAAAAAATGAATGGACGTTTAATTCTTCATGCGCCCAACGGAGTGCTGAGTACAACACCTAGGTGCTTGGTGAGTAGATGATTCAAATGGATAAAGAAAACACTTCTTTATGCGTCAGTGGAAAGCCAGGTACATCCACTTTCAGGAGTCCAGGCAAATAGAAGTGAGTTCATAGACGGAGCTGTGAAATACTCATTAGGACAAAGAGGACCCCAAATCAAGACGGATTTGAGAAAAAGCTGACGTTATCCATTTAGCACGCTAACAAAGGACAGTTTGAAAAACAACTCTCAGAACACAGGGTTTTGTGCTGGGGAGAGGGGCCCACATTACCAGGTGAAGGCTCTAGCTGGAGACGGGCAGGTTTCTGCTCCAGGAGAACCTAAAGCAGTAGCTTCCAAAGAAAGTCCACTGAGGCAGCTGGAGGGTAAGATAATCCTAGATCTAAGGTTGGCTTAAGGAGGTTAAACGGCATGTATTTACAAAAGTGGCCACAGTTTACATTTCAATTAAAAAAAAAGATATTCTAACGTCACTTCTGTTTAAAGAGATAGACATAAAATAAAAGTAAGTTGAACTATTTCTTATTATCCTATTTAACTTATTTATAAAGATAAGCCTTATGAAATTGAGCTCAATTGGCAGCTTCCAGATATAAACCATCATAGAAAACATTTGCTTTTTCAATCTGAAAACAAACAGAAATCAGAGCACTAAAATTACTATGAATGATTGCATCTTAAGATGTTACATGAAATATTTATCTAAGCTTTACTATAAAATTCTCAAGTGTTTCAGATAGAGTCCTGTTTAATCAAAAAATGTGTTTCCATTTCACAGCGATCATGTGGGTCTCCCCCTAAGTTCTTTGAAAATAATGATTGCTTTTTCTTCCTTAGTTAAGGAAAATAACACAGGCCCTTTAATTAGCATTAAATTTCACTCCAACCATGAAGGTATCCATGCCAAAGGGTTTGGAAGCTCTGATAGTATACTCTCTCTCCCTATATTATTTAAATATGTACATAAATATATATATTTTATTTAAATATCTATCTATCTATCTATCTATCTATCTATCTATCTATCTATCTATCTATTTTTTGAGATGCAGCCTCACTCTTTTGCCCAGGCTGGAGTGCAGTGGCATGATCTCGTCTCACTACAACCTCCGCCTCCCAACCTCAAGTGATTCTCCTGCCTCAGCCTCCACAGTAGCTGGGACTACAGGTGCACGCCATCATGCCCAGCTAATTTTTGTAATTTTAGTAGAGACAGGATTTTACCATGTTGGGCAGGCTGGTCTCGAACTCCTGACTGCCAGTGATCTGTCTGCCTCAGCCTCCCACAGCACTGGGATAGCAGGCATGAGCTATAGAGCCCAGCAGTATACGATATTCTTAAGTTTTTGTGGCCTCTGTGACACTCATTATAGGCTTAAGGTTTGTTCAAATGAGTGCTAAGAATTCTTACCTAGGCGACTTATTTATTTTTCTCTTTCCTCAGGCCTTAAAAATACATATGTAATGTTCCACTTGAACTATCTCAATTGTCACTGGCGTTTTACATAAAATCACATTTGCAAAAAGGAGGTGGAGTTTCCAAAAGGAGATAAAATCTAAAAGGGAATTCAAATAAGGCTGCTTTACAGCATCAACTTCCCATACCTTAGGGGACAAAGTTCTACTGGGTGTGGAACTTACCTCCTTACAAAGAAATTAAAACTTGAAAGCTATTTTTTTCTTTGTATCACTTACGTTTGCAAATGCACCAATTAAAAGAGCTTCCTGAAATCTTGTTTTCTGTTTTTGGTGAGACTCACCCCTTTCCCTGTGTCCCCAAAACCATGAAAGGGGAAGCTGACACATTTCCCTGACTCCTTTCTAAGCTAGCATCATCTAACGGCAGTGGACTGCGAATGGAAGGCATAGACTGCGGTCTTGTTTGTGTCATGAGCTCTGAATCTAGTAGGGGAGACAGATATGTAAGTAAATGGACTGCAGTGGGTATTGAATACAGCTTGCTGTGTGCCTTTAGGCAAATCATAACTGTTTGGGTGAGGGAGAAAGGACAAGATGGAGGAAGGTGAACAAGAAGGCACAATCCATGTTGCTTCCGGGTTCTTCCTCACCAACTCTCCCGCGTGCGGGAAAATGTAGCCCACGCCCAGGAAGATGCAGATCAACCGAGCATGCGCCAGGTGACATCAATCCAAAGAGATCGAAACTTACCCGGCCACGCCTACGTAGACACCCCTATCACACCCTTATCCCGCCCACTGCCCTCCCCCTTCCAGTACCAATGCATAAAAGTCTGCCGCCAGCAGGAGCCAGCGTGACTTCTTCGGCCCCTGCATTCGTGGATCGGGGAACCTCACCCGAGAGCCGGGCGCGACTTCCCTGGCCCCCCACACCTGAGGACCAGAGAACCTCGCCCGAGAGTGTGCGCATATTTGTAATAAAAGACTGCCACTTTCTTATGTACTTTGGCCTCATGTTTAATTATTTAGCTCTCCTAAATTAAATTAAATGAAACAAAACAGTTGGTGCCGAAACCTGACCCAGGAGGAGACCCTTCCTCAACATCCCCTAGGGGTCTAACGAACCTCCTCCCCAGCGAACCGGCTCCCAACCCAACCAGCCACCAACACCGAACAAGTGTTCCAGCTTTCCACTGGTGCTGCTCTGAGAATTTCTTCTTCGGTGAGTACTCCCCTTTGTTAACCATCTCCGTCCGTTTCCATGTCCTTGGCCTAGAGTCGTACGTACGCCCAAGGACGTAGCCACCCTGTGGCGCACTGAGGTCTTCAACCCGTAGACGTCCGTCTTGAAGTTCCTCAATTCTCCGTTAGTGGCTCCAGGAGCCCCCGGTCTCCAGCAGCGGCAAAGGACACTTTGCCACTGCGTGAGGTCGGTTTCCATTTCTGGTGGTTAAACAATGGGAACCTCACAATCGAAAATCCCTAGGAACACCCCCTTAGGGTGTCTCCTCCAAAACTTGGAAGCCTTACTTCTAGCTCAAGATTTAAAATGAAAGCGGCTAATTTTCCTCTCCACTGTGGCATGGCTGCAGTATAAATTAGACAACCAATCTCAATGGCCACCAGACGGCACACTTGACTATAACATTCTATTAGATCTCTCTAATTTCTGCCAA